AGAAGTTGAATCAGGAAGCAAAGCACCCGTGGATGCTGAATGGCCCCTCCCTGGCTGGGGAATAAGTAGAAGAAAAGGGGGGTGGTTGTCATGGGAGACAACAGTTTGTATTTCTGAAGATTTTGCTCATTGTGTTTCCTGCCACAAAGACTGCTTGCCAGAATTTAATTTGCAGCCTTTTGGCTGGGAGCTCATGGCCTTGCAATTATCGCAAGGAACTGATAAAGTCTGTTACTGCAGTTAACTCCTTCAAGGACTATTACCTGGACTTTTCGGTGGGTGAATGCAATTAAGAGGTAAATAAAGAGGGGTTATTTGTATGACAAGGAGTCTGTTTCTTGCTTCTGCTAAGGCTGGGTCAGAACAGAGAGAAAGGACCTTCCCTTTCATGACAACCATTTGAATATATATCTGAAGCCAGAAATTAATCAATTAAAAAAAACCAACAGAAAGGAGAAAAGGTTTAATAGTGTATGTGAAGTTTGGTTCCAATTAAAAAGGTCTCTTTAGGCGGTTCTCCTCACCACCTAAAATCTTTGAAGTAAATGTTTCTTGAGGTTTTTTAATTAATGAATTAACTGCCTTGTCTTCTTTTCCCTTTAAGGTGACCTGTGCTGGTTTCCCAGTGGTTTGGATCTACTAGAAGCTCCTGCCAGCCTAATGCCATGAATGTTGAAGCGGACAATGTGGAAGAGAAAGCTGTCCATTCCTGGTCAAGGATGTCCTCTGCAGGACAGAAAGCCTTGGAAGAAGCTCTCCGGGTGTTTAACCCCATGTCCAAGGACCTGTCTGACACGGAGACCCAGTTAGTAGCTTTTCTCCAAGGCCTGAAAGAAGAAGGCTACCAACCCACAATCCTAAGGAGCAAAGACGTGTATGGATACAGTTCCTGCACTGCCAATGCACCTAGCCAAACAAAAGGCAATATCCAAGACATTCCGGAAACAGCTGTTCCTATTTCAGAGTCTGCCAAGGCCCCAGCAAGGAACATGGTCACCATAGAGAAAGTATCTGCCCCCTTGGCGGGAATTACATTGAGTTCTTCTAAAGAATCTGCGGAGCCCATGTCCAAGAGCAGTAATTCCACAAACCTCCTATTGAACTCTTTGAAACGGACACGTTCGGGCACATCCAAAGCCTCGGCCATGAGCTTCCCGGCTAATATGTACCCCGGCGTCTATCCGGCCATGAGGCTGTCGGTGGTGTTGGAAGCCTTAGTCCCACTGAAAGCCACTGCTTCTTGTCTGGAATCAAAATGCACACAAGGGCACCTGGGGATCACTCCTTCGGACCTTAAGCGGCTCAAAGCACCCGCGGCATCAGTGCAGTCTAAGGCCGCTAAGATACCCTCTAACCAATTGGACCCCAAAGGATACAGGCATTTAATAACCCAAGTGCCGGACTCTGCTGCTCTCACGATGAGCCTTATAAAAGGACCAAAGGGTGGGGTGCTTCAGGAAAGTAACACTTGCAAAGCATCTGGAATCCTGAATGGCCGAATTTCGGGGAGCAACTCCCAGAGCTGTAGCACGGCAGCCTCCAGAATTAAGAAACCATCGGTGGCCAAACCTGAATGGAAAAGTGGCGGCAGCCATCAGCAGGAGAAAAGAAGAAGTGCAGAGGAAGGAAAACCCTGTCGAAAGACGCCCAGTTCTCTCCCGCCACCTAATAAACCAGAACTGGCTTCGAAAGCATTCAACCTGCTGAACTTCCAGGCCATCAAAGTGGACAGCTCTTCCGATGACGAACTGAGGAGGAGAGCACAGCAGATCCTTAAAGTTAACTTGTCCCCTGTGATCAGAATTCAGCCATTGCCTCAATCTCTCAGCATCCCTTGAGTCGTTCGGTTGAGTGGGAGCTCCAAGCCTCCTCCCCCCCTTGAGGATGATCAAATCAGCATCGAGTCTCTCGGAGCGGGTGAGGGGGGGCTTACACAACGTCTGTACTCTCGGGCAGCTGAGCCTCGGCTCCTGGTTGGCAATTGGGGGAAATTCTGCGGAGCTGAGCAACAACTGGATTACAAAAATCGTGTTTGGAAATGCCGGCAGAGATCTTTGAAGGCCCCCGTGGAGAAGAATATAGACCATCCCTGGCCTTCCTCTGGGACACTTTTCTACAGTACTTTTATAAACATGGCAGAGTACACATCTGGGATATGGCGGCACTTGGGCTGTTCCTGTACTGTGATATTTCTGGTTCCTTTTATTTTGAAATCTGTAAATCTACTTGGTTTTATTTTGATCCTATTTTATATACTTATTAAATATAAATATCTATTGACTCATACATATGCATTGCCCAAGGGCTGTCAGAATGTGATCCCTTAATTCTTTGTTCTTTCTTTTTCAAGAACTGGGTTCAGAAGTTCTCCCCTCAGCTTTTCCTCCCCGGGGTTACTTGTTAAAAAAACACAAAGGCCTTTGCTTGTTTCTAGCGCTGCCTCTCTTGTCTCTAAAACCCAGTGGCTTGCTGTCATCTACTACTAGCCCTTGGTCCTGCTTATTGCCATTATTGTCACATCTTGTCACAAGAGCCACAGTGGCGCAGTGGTTAGAGGGCAGTACTGCGGGCTACTTCTGTCGACCACCGGCTGCCTGCAATATGGCAGTTCAGATCTCACCAGGCTCAAGGTTGACTCAGCCTTCCATCCTTCCGAGGTGGGTAAAATGAGGANCCAAGTTTTGCCTTTTCCTGTGTTTGGAAACTAGTTATCTGGCAGCGCTCCAAACGAGATAAGGTTGGTGTGGATAAACATTCCTCTGAAAGACTGTTTGCTAAGTCTTGCTGACTGTGAATGAAAAGAATTCACAGTCATGTAAATAAAAGAGATTTTGTAGGGACCAAGACCTTGCTTCTTGCTTTCTAAGGAAACCTGGGTCAGAACAGTGCCTATCTTATGCCATTTGCAGCCGTTACAGACACTCCTACTTGTGTACTCAGGGGATCAGGACCCTTTGACTCTTAAGTCAACATTACTGAGTGAGTAATGCAGAAGAGGGAAGTTCCTGATGGGATTTACCCCTTCACTACAGCCAGTTGCTTCCATGATGGTTCCAGCAGCATAGAATTTATGGTGTGTATTCTGCTTCTCATTCATCGGGCTTTTTCCAAACAATCCTCTCCTCTGTATAGAATATTGTTTCCTCTCTTGGTTGCTTGGTTGGTCCTCTTGTGTGAGCTGAAGTATGGCTGCTCACTACTCTAATCTGGGTAATTTTCTTCAAGCACTGCTCCACACTCTTTAAGTTGCTTTCGAATAAGCCCTGGGACCGGAATGCAAAAAAGCCACAAGCCCTGTAGGTCATAAGTGCAGATTTCTATCCTTTTATTTGCACTCTGTGTTCTTAAATCATTATCACAGAATGGTATTATTCTGTTCTCGTGGTCTTCAGTTAAGTACCGTATTTCCCCCAAAATAAGATCCAACCAGAAAATAAGCCCCAATGTGTCTTTTGGAGCAAAAATTAATATAAGACCTGGTCTTATTTTCAGAGAAATATAGTTGTTGTTGTTAGTTGCGAAGTTGTGTCCGACCCATCGCAACCCCATGGACAACGTTCCTCCAGGCCTTCCTGTCCTCTACCATCCCCTGGAGTCCATTTAATCTCACGCGTACTGCTTCAGTGACTCCATCCAGCCATCTCATTCTCTGTCCTCCCTTTCTTCTTTTGCCCCCAATCGTTCCCAGCATTAGGCTCTTCTCCAGGGAGTCCTTCCTTCTCATTAGGTGGCCAAAGTACTTGCATTTCATCTTCAGGATCCGACCTTCCAAAGAGCAGTCAGGGTTGATGATATCTAGGACTGACCGCTTTGATCACCTTGCAGTCCAAGGGATTTGCAGGAGTCTTCTCCGGCACCATAGTTCATAGTTCCCCAGGAGCAAGCGGGAATTCGGTACCAACTCTTATTTTCGAGTTAAATATTGTTATGGACTCACCCACCAATCCAGGGTCTCCTACTTGAGCGGTGGGTTGGACTAGAAGACTTCCAAAGTCCCTTTCAACTCTGTTGTTCTGTTAAGCTCCATTGGCAAATTCATCCTTGTTTCCCCTGTTGACTCTCTTAGGGAGCCATGTGGTAGTAAGTGCAGTAGTAGCAGTGGGTTGGCCCGTTTCATGGAGGGAGGGATTTATGTTCTACATCTGAGGGATAGTTTTTGTCGCTTGAAAACATACAGGTAGTCCTCAACCTACGACCGCAATTGAGCCCAACATATATGTTGTTAATTGAGAAATTTCTAAAGCTGGATTTGTCCCCATTTTACGACTCCTCATCGCATTTGTCAAGTGAATCGCTGCAGTTCTTAAATCAGTACTACCTGGTTGTTAATTGAATCTGGCTTTCCCCATTGACTTTGCTTGTCAGAAGGTCGCAAAAGGGGATCACATGACTCCGGGACACTGCAACCGTCATAAATATGAGTCAGTTTTCAAGCATGTAAATCACGTGGTCATGGGGATGTTGCAAAGGTCATAAGTGTGAAAAACGGTCATAGGTCACTCAACGACAGTGAAATATTTAGTTATGTTTAATGGAAAACCAGTGATGTTATTTTTAATCTTAAGAATTGATGCACAAAAACTTGTAACCAAACGACATGCTTGATGAAATGAAGGAAAGTGGGGGTGGGGGGTGGGTTTCCTTGCTTTTGTATGTGTTGTTTTGTTTTTTCTTTAAGAAAAAGAATGTATATGTGTGTTGTGGCCTGGCATGAGCCTTTGGAGCTGCCGCCAGACTCTGACAGCGAGGGGTCTTATGAGTCGGCTTTGGAGGAGGTGGAGGACCCTGGACAGGGTGTCAACTCCAAGCAGGGCGAGGAGAGACTGGTCGGCCACCAGGTGGCGGCAGAACATTGGATCAAAGAGAATGTTCAGGAAAACATTTGGGAGTTGTTTCAGGATGCATGCAGACGCAGGGCTACTCGCCGTAAAGAACAATGGAGTAACTACAGGAGGGGGATTACGAGCAGTTGATGCTGATTAAGATCCTCTCCTGAGTATAAAGGAGACTGTTGGTGCCACGCCCTGGTTGCAGGAGTCAACGTTCTCGTTCACGTTCATGATTCAGAGAAACCAACTTGGATAAGTGGTTTGCTGTGAGAAGCTTATTTGCATTGCCTAGATTCGTAGTAATTGCTGCCAGAGAACTTATCTATTTGTTTATTTTGGCTTGCAGCTAACGAGAGTCTTGCCTGATTAAAGGAAACCTTTTTAGTTACGTGGCTTTTGGCTTTCGTTCCTGGAGAAGGGGGGGTCAGAACATACATACATACATACATACATACATACATACATACATACATACATACATACATACATATATATATAGTCACTTTTTTCAGTGCTGCTGTAACTTTGGCCATGAATGTAAGTTGAAGACTACCTGTACTACAAAGAAAGGTATTGTCAGGTCCCAT